ACTGTGCAGGTCCCAGGGAAAGAGCAAAGCTTGCAGGGGTTGCCTAGGGAGAGGGCTGCCCAATGGGGAATTTGCACCACTTGCTCGGCAGGGGTGGAGCTTATAGTGGCCACAAGGGTCGCCCCTTGGATTCATGGTCTCTGCTCCTTGAGGGTGATGAAGATGCAGCAAAGGAAGAAGAGAGCTTTGCTCTCAAAGGAGGTGCCATTTGCTCCTAGCAGTGACCATAGTATGCAATCCTGAGACGCAACTTGGTTAGGGCAGGGCTGATTTCAACAGTTTTTAATCTTCACTTCTCTTTCCTGATTCTTTTGGTGAAATACCTTCTCACAAAGTTTAAATGCTAAAGTGCAGCCTGGTTAGCTACCACAGCTTTAACAATGCCAAAATGGCATTAAATATGAAAGATCAGCTTTATGATGATGTGAAAAGGGAACATATATTTTGATTCCCCAAATATATCTTTACTTAAGGGCCAATATAAATGGGAAAGATGGCCAGAGCTAAAAGTTAATTGCTTGTGTAATTTCAAAATGCTCTTTGCAAGTTCAGAACCCTGGTTGCTTGTAAATTAGGGCACTCTTATAAAATCTGAAGTGCTGCCATAAATCCTCCTGCAACATCGATAGAGACTTCAGTAACTCATTGAAGAGTTATATCATTCAAGATCCTTAGTTACCTCTTATGCAGTATGAAAAAAGTAGAATGACCACAAACTACCCTAAGAAGACAGTATGGGTTTTGTAGCTCTTACATCTTTACTTAACCCCGTCCCATTTGTAGCTCTTACATCTTTACTTAACCCCATCCCTTAACCCCAAATGCCATCAAATTATTTGCTAAGCCTCTGGGTCAGACATTACAAATGCAGGTGCTCATTTGCCCAATGAGTCAATGTAGGCAAAAAAAAAAAAAAGGCAAAAAAGGGTTTGCAGTGCCCCACATTTAATCCTGCCCCTGCCCCTTTCTGTTACCTCACACTCTGAGAGATAAATTCCCTACTGGGGAGTGCCTGCTATGCACGTAGGCACTCCATGGGATTTAGAACCCTGACCTTCAACGATTCTAAATCATGTGGGAAGCATACACTGGCTCTGTGCTATGGCAGGTTCAGGCTCAGTGTTGGATTAAAGTAAGGGGAAATCCAAAAACATGTTTATATACTGGCAATGGTCAAGGACACATTTTTAGTAGGCCAGTGGAAGAGTTCCAAAAGAGAGGTCTGAAGAGTGGTCAGGTCAAAACACAGGCAAATGATCAGATGCAATACGCACTTCAAGAAGCAGAGTCAAGCAGAAGTCCAAGGTCAGTAGCACATCACAAGCATGCTGATCTGATACTGCAGGGTTATCCTGCCAGGGCTATTTGAGTTCTATCCAAGGCTTCCTCGGTGTTTATTACAATCTTTACTCCTGAGAAGTCCTCCCTTTGTGACCACTTCCCCTTAAAGGAGACCCACTGGCCTATATCTTGATGTACAGTGCTCTTAGGGACTAGATGGACACCCAGCTTCTGTCTCAGAGGCAGAACATTCCTTCTGTGCAGAAGGAGAGAGAGTCATCTTCCCTGTGGGTCTAGGCTTTCCCACAGCTTCTGTGATGGGTAGCTCCTCAGCATTGGTCCTCTGCAAGAATGCTAGCTTCTCCTTAGAGGGGGCATGCTGTATGGACAGAAAGGGCTCCTTGCAGCAGGAGTTCTCCTTCAACAAAGGGAGGAGCTAGGAGAAGCTGCATAACCTTGGTTTGCATTGAATGCATGGCCCCACAGACCCTTTGGATTTACTTTGATCAATGAAGCTACATCGACCGATTGTTCAAGTATCACTTGCACAGGGTGTATTTTTTTTTTTAAATCCCCTGGCCCAGAATTAAGAAAAAGTTTGCCTGGAGATTTAAGTGGTTAATTGCCATGCAGATCATATACAAATGTCAGTAATGCTGCTGAAAACTTGTATTTCCTAGTTCAGGGATATGAACCTTGGGGATTATAATGCTTATCTTCATATTATGAGTCCATTTCTTTTCTCGCTTGGATTTCAATGGCTCTCTCCAATTGTCCTCTTACTCATTTACCTGGTACTTCAGGAACTGCCATGTTTGAGGGAAGACCAAACCAATTTTGGTACCACTTTCCTTTAGTCACATGGCACAAGGAGTAGGAGCTATCACAATGACCTAACAGAAGGTGCTTGGCAGCTCTCCTTGGCCATGGGGCTCTGGACCTATGCACTTTGGTCAGACCCGAGTGGCACTTCTGACTGGCTGATCTTGCTCTGATGGTGGCAAGTGGACAGAAAGAAAGAAGGAATGGCAATCTTCCTCTTCCATCCTCTTATTTTTGCCGCACAACCATGCAATACACCAGGCATTAGTCTACTTGGGAAATATCTCATTCTCACTGACTGCATTTCTCAACGATACTTACACCTGATGCAGCATGCTTGGCATAGGACAGTGGTGGTGAACCTATGGCATGAGTGCCACAGTGGACGCGCAGAGCCCTCTCTGTTGGCACGTGAGCCAAGTTGCCCCAGCATCACCCCAGCAGCCAAGCATCGGATAACAGCGCATATAGGGTCAATGCACACGCTCGGAAAGGAGTAGTGGCACCAGGCGATGATGTCACAAGCTGCAACTCATTAGCCACGACTTGTCCGAGTGTTCACATGGTGGATCAGTGCACTGGCAAGGATATATATATATATATATATATTTGCTTGACTGACTGTGAGTTTTTTCTACACTAAGCTAAATGAGTTTAGTTTAGTTTTTTCTGAATTAAAACCTCAGTTTTCAGGTTTTATTGCAGTGTTGGCACTTTGTGACAAATAAATGCATGTTGGGTTGCAGTTTGGAGATTCAGTCTCTAAAAGATTCACCATCACTGGGTTAGGGTTAGAAAAATGAGGTGTATGATTTTGAATGAGTTTAGAATGGGCAGAAAGGTTGAGATGTACAGAAAAAGCTACTCAAGGAAGGCTTTTTCAAAATTGTTCTATTTTCAATGAAACTTTAGACCTGTATTAGGGTTAGGGGTAAGCACCAGGGTAGGGTTAGGGTTAGAAAAACAAGGTGTCCGGGCATGATTTTGATGGTTGGAATGTGCTTTGAATGGGCAGAAATGATGAGCCGTGCAGAAAAAGCTACTCAAGAAAGGCTTGTTCAAAATTGCCCATTTCAGTGGTATTTTACATCTATATTAGGGTTAGGGGTGTGCACCAGGGTAGGGTTAGGGCAGTGGTGGTGAACCTATGGCATGCATGCCACAGCCAGCATGCAGAGCCCTCTCTGAATGCGAGTCAAGTCACGCCAGCCTCGCCCCAGCAGTCGAGCATCGGATAACAGCAGACATAGGGGCCATGCGCATGCTCGGAAATGAGTAGCGGCGTCAGACAATGATGTCACAAGCCGCCACTCATTAGCCGCCACTCATCTGAGCTTTTTCATGGCCAGTCAGCGTGCTGCCATGGATATGTATATGTATATATCATATAGTATATATTTGATTAGACTGGCTGTGAGTTGTTTTTTCTGCCGGGGGGGGGGGGGG